AGCTATCTTGGTTCTTCAGCACTGTGCTAGGTCTACTGTTATTTATCGTCGAGATAGGGATCGTGTTTTGGATCAAGTTGTCGGTGGTGCAAAATCTACCGGCCTGCTACGTCACCACGGCTCTGCTAGCTATTGTTTTTGTTGTTTTTATTTTGTTCACGTATACTTTCTACCGGAAACTAACCAAACACAAGTACGAAGTGTCCAAAGGTCACCTCGAAGACTTGCAAACGCTGTACTCTACTCTTCAGCCGCCTTCGTCGAAGATGGGCAGCATGATCATTTCGCAGGACATTTCAAACGTGTAAACTAACGGGAACCGTGTTTAGGTGTTCATGTTTATAATCTTTCAGAATCTAAACTTCGTTATTGTTTATCTTGTAAATAAAGGGTACATTAATAAGTGAGTAACTGTCACCTTGAACCGTTGTCACAATTAGCGTCTCTGGCTTGTGACATCGTCTACACTAGCGTATTTCAACAGTCTTCCTATAACCCATGCGTTGCTGCATCGTAGAAGAAAGTATTCCTCTTCGAACGCAGATCTACCTCTTTACATTGTTCCTCCGTGTTGCATATTCGCCTCCCGATAGACATTTGTCATGTTTCTGCATTTGATTGACTTAAACCTTGCTTTGCCGCTGCGGAAACCATTAATATGAGTAAAAAGATACTTTTGATGAACGCTAATGACGTACAACTCCTGCATTCATGTTGGTAAAACAATACACACTTGCATGTACATGCCATTCCATACCATCAGAGTAAGCAAGCGGAAGCTACATTAGCTGCAAAGAACAGTCAGAATAATAATAATAAAATCAATAAAAATTACGTAAACGCCATGTAGAAATAAAATCTGTTTAAAGACGTAGAAAAATCACAACCACGAACTCTGCGAATGTTATTGAAAACAAGTTTCAAAGAATATCTTATGAAATGTGCACTCGACGAAGACGACGAAAACGCACGCGCTCATTGCACGTGCATAAAGCTCACGTTTTGGTAGTCTCGATGTTGTGCTTGTGTTTTCGATGAAACTCCTGTGTCTCGTTAAATATCAATTGCTTCAGTTCTTCCTTGGGCAAATCGTCCAATTCCATCTCATACTTGAAAGGCTCTTCACAGCAAGGCTAAAATAAGGTACGAATCAATAACTTAATATTACAGAAATTAAACAAGATAATGTCTTCATAATTCGCCATGCTTTGGAGAGCGGACAGCAACCGAAATACGTAATCGTATGATAAAGCGCATTGGAGTGTAAACTTCACTTAACTTTCCCTGGATTTACATAGCGTAGTCGCACTGCCCCATGCTCGAAGGGACCACCTTACCTATTAGCCTAGGGGACCGTTTAAGCAGATACTTTGTTCCCGTAGTGGATTAAGGCAAAACATCCCAACTTTGGTGAATAAAACAAAAACATGCTCGAAAATATCGATCTAAAGGCAGGAGAACAAAATTTAATTCCGGTACTATGGTTTTGCTTCCAAAAAACGGATAGTTTTGAATGCCGTCGATAAGAATAACAATTTACACTGAATGTTTTCCAAATCCGAAGACGGTATTTTTTATGAATTGGTAGCCAGGCTAAAGGAAAAGCACAGAAACGGTGTAATAAAACAGTTGGAACTTCTCGGCTGGAAACAGCATCTATGGCAACCGAAAACAATCACCACATTTACAATGACGAAAGTCATTGACATATGAAAAAAATGTTGTCAGTAGTTTACATATGATATGCTAGCTGTATTGCGCTATGATTTAATAAACCATCTATTTTACTATTTTTAAATGTTTAATTTCTGATTAAGACGCAATCAATTTTTACGTATATCATACATGCCGATATAAATTCAGGTTTCAGGTGACTACAAAGCGATTCTTTGATTACCTTCATTTCGAAATGCAAATGCTAAAATCATGCCGTTTCTGCAGGGCGTAGACAAGAAGTTCTGTGACAAAGAAGATTATTGTTAACAGCTAATCAAATCAAACACCAACTGGCCTAAGACGGTTGCACAATATATTTCTCACTCCGGAGAATATTTAAATAATTTCTTGTCGCTGATTCTGCTGCCAAAAATGGAATTAAAATCAATATTTAATATATTCGCTTCTGGCATTTTAATGTACTTACGTTTACTTTATTCACAAGTTCAAGTTATCAGGTTCGTAGGATAAGTAGAAAGCGTCATCAGTTCTCAGTGTACTCCCACGGGGAATCAAAACGATAATAATCAATTAGACAAATGAAAGTGAAATCCATTCAAGCAAATCTGTGTGAAAAACGTAACGTTGACTCTGTATTAAAAAAACAAATTCTCTGGAGAGAGAGGCTGTTTATTTCATTTGCCTTCCTGTGATAGACTCCCCTCGTCCATACGTACCTCGTCCGCCGGATCGTAGTACGGTTCCAAGTACGGATGAGCAAGAGATTCCTCGACCGTGATGCGTTTATTCGGGTTAAACGTGAGCATCTTGTCAAGCAAATCCAGAGCATTGGGGTCTGCGTGAGGGTAGATACGGTTCCAGGGCATTTTCGTCTTCGGAGGCAGGGAGATGAGATAGTTGCGCGCCTTCTCGTTTACGATGCACTGCAGGTCTTCTTCGCTCGGCGAACCGACGACGGCCAAAATCAAATTCAATTGGTCCAGATAGTGTTTGCCGGGGAAGAGCGGACGGCTGTTCAGCATCTCGCCCAAGATGCAACCCACCGACCAGATATCTATGCTTTTCGTGTAGCCCTTGGAGTTCAGCATGATCTCGGGAGCCCTGTACCACCTAACGAAACGACACCAATGTGTGAAAAAAATAAAAAC